TTATCCTCTGGCCTCAGCCTTCCAGAGTGCCAGGATTACAAGAAGGCACCACCATGCCTGGCTTCTGAAGTTTCTACCTTTCTTCTTTTCCTATTACATGTTTTACTTTACTCATTACAGTATTTATATTTGAATTTCTCATATAAGAAAAACAATACAATATTTAAGCGTCTGTGTCTGATTTATTTCACTTAACATTATGGTCTCAAGGTGCATCCATTCTCCTACAAATGACTCGAGTTTATCCTTGTTTATGGTAGAATAGCACTCATTGTGTATAAATGCCACATTTTCTTTATCCATTCATCTGTTCATGGACACATAGGCTGCTTCCAAAATTTAGGTATTATGAATTGTGCTGCTATGAACATAGGTATACATTTATCAATATATTATGACTTCTATAACTTTTTCAGGAAGATATCCAGAAGAGGAATAGCTGAGTCAAGTGTTATTTCAAGTTTTAGTTTTTTTAGAAATCTCCACACTGATTTCCATAGCGATTGTACTAGTTTACATTCCCACGAACAATGTAGAAGGGTTTCGTTAGCCTCACAGCCTCACCAGCATTCTTTATTATTTAGTTTCTTGATGACAGCTATTGTTGCTGGAGTAAGAGAGAATCTCAGTGTTGCTTTAATTTGCATTTCTTTAATGGCCAGTGATTTTGAACATTTCTTACATATTTCTTGGCCATTTGTCAAGTGAAATGAAGTATCTATTCAATTGGGGTTCAACTCAGAATGTCCTTGCCTATGCCTATTATCAAGAATTTTACCTATGTTTTCTTTCAGTGGGTTAAGTGCTTCTGTTTTAACATTTAGATCATTGAGCCATTTTGATATTAGTTTAGTACATGGTGAGAGATACAGGCCTAGATTGAACCTTCTGCATGTGGATAGCCAGTTTCCCCAGCATGCACTTTTCTTGCTTAAAATGTTGGCCCCCTTGTCAAAGATCAAGTAGCTGAATGGGCCTAGATATATTTTTGCATCTTCCATTCATATACATTGATCCATCTGTCTGTTTTTTTTTGTTTGCTTTTGTTTTTTGCCAATACCATGCTATTTAAGAACTGTAGTTTTGTAGTATAAATTAAAGTCCTGGGTTGTGATGCGTCTTGCCTTACTCTTGTTGGGCAGTATTGCTTTTGCTCTTCTGGATCTCTTCTGGTTCCATATGAAATTTAGGATTACTTTCCATAGTTCTATGAGGAATGATGATAATATTAGGATTGAGATTGGATTCAATCTGTATATCAGTTTGGGAAGCATGGCCATTTTAACAATATTGGTTCTGCGTATCCAAGAACAGGGGATATCTTTCCATTTTCTGATGTCCTCTTTGATCTCCTTTTTTGGAGTACTATAATTTCGATTGGACAATGTTTTAACTTCTTTTGATAGGTATATTCCAAAATATTGAATTTTTTATAGTATTATTGTGAAAGGTATTGTTGCCCTGATTTTTTCCTCAGTGAGTTTATGATTAATGTGTGCTGAATTTTTGTGTGTAGAATTTGCGTCTTGCTACACTACTAAAATTGGCTATTAATTCTAGGAGTGTTTTGTTTTGCTTTGTTTGATTTTGGGGGAGTGTTATTTTTTAATTTAATTAATTTATTTTTTTATACCAGGGATTGAACTCTCTAGGAGTTTTTTGGTGGAATTTTTTGGATCATTTGTGTAGAAGATCATGTCCTCTGCAAATAATGATAATTTGATCTCTTCCTTTAATGTACATATCTTTTTTATTTCTTTCTCTTCTGTGATTGCTCCAGCTATGTTGGCTATTGGTTTTTTTATCAGATTATGAATGGCTTTTATCAGATTGAGATAAGGTCCTTCCACAGCTATTTTCTTCATGTTTTTTTTAAATCATGAATGAATGTCAAATTTTGTCAGGCTTTTTCCTTGACAATTGAGATGATCATGTCATTGTGATCGTTGTTTCTGTTCATGTGTGTATTGCATTTATAGTTTTTTGTATGTTGGACCTTCCCTACATCTGGAAGGAATTCTTCTTGGTCATAATGTATGAAATTTTTGATGATTTCTTGCATTGTGTTCCCCAGTATCAAGTTGAGGATTTTTGCATCTATGTTCATTAAAGAAATTGGCCTGTAGTTCCCTGTCTTGGTTTGGTCCTTGTCTGATTTTGGAATCAAGGTAATTTCAGTTTCCCAGGATGACTTTGGGAGTACGTTCCCTTTTGATTTCATGAAAGAGTTTGAGGCGTATTGGTATTAGGGCATACCTAAAGTTCTTGTGAAAATTGGAGGTAAATCCATCAGATTTGGTCTTTCATTAGTTGATAGTTTTTTTATTATTATTTCTTCAATCCTATTGCATGATATTGGATTATTCAGTGTTTTTATATCTTCTTGATTCAGCTTTGGTAGTTCATATGTTTCAAGGAATCTATCCATTTCTTCTCAATTCTCCATTTTAGTAGAGTATAGGTGCTCAATGTTATTATTAGTAACCTTCTGGATTTCTGCAGAGTGTGTTGAGATCGTAGCTTTTTTATTGCTAATTGCATTCATTTTGGTCTTTCCTTTTTTGGTAAAATTAGCTGGGGGGTTGTCTACTTTTTTCAAAGAACAATCTGTTTGATTCATTGACCCCATTTTTAAGTCTCAAATTTATTAATTTCTGCTCTGATCTTTATAATTTCCTTCCTTGTTCTAACTTTGGACTTTGTTCTTGTTTTTCTAGGATCTTGAGTAGCACCATTAGGTTGTTTCTTTGGATATGCTGCGTTTTTTTGTTTTTTGTTTTTAATGTGGGCATTCACACTTATAGTTTCTGAGGTACTCTTTCTCATGAAAATACCTTATTTATCCATCAGTTTTGAAAGAAAGTTTTGCAGGATATATACATCTGGGTTGGAAATTCTTATTTTTAAGGGCTTGAAAGACTCCTCTCCAAGATCTCCTGGACTTTAAGTTCTTTAATGAGAAATCTGCTGTAATTCTTTTTTTTTTTTTTTTTTTTTTTTTTTTTTTTTTTTTTTTAACAGGGATCGAACTCTGGTCCTTGCATTTGTGAGGCAGGTAGCAGAACCACTGCGCTAAATCCCTGGCCCCAGTCTGCTGTAATTCTGATGGGTTTAACTTTGTAAGTGATGCACTACTTTTCTTAAACAGCTTTTAAGAAATTGTCCTTTTGCTGGACTTCTGCTATTTTGACTATGATGTGATGTGGGAAGGTTCTCTTTAGATTGTGGCTATTTGGGATTTCATATGTTTCATTTATTGTATGTTTAATTCTTTCCCAATATTTGGAAAGATTTCTGTTGTTTCTACTTAAAAGTTTTTATATACTCTGTGTTGTCTTCTTATTTTTCACTTATTCCAATTAATCCTAGATTACTCTTCGTTGTGTCATCTAGCAGCTGTTAAATCCATTTTTTCATGTTCTCTTGTTCTTTCCACAATATGTCTGAGTAAATGGTCTTTAAAAGCATCCCTGTTTTTAATTCAGATATTAGTCACTTGTGCTGCTGATACATTCAATATAATTTTTAACCTCCTGGATTTTTGTTTGGAGGACTAATTCTTCGCTCAAGTGGTCATTCGTGTTTTGCATCATTTTGTTTAGCTTAGCTAGATTTTTCTAAGTGTCTCTGTTAGCTCCCTTATCATTTTGTTTCTTACTTTCATCGTCTGTTTAGTGATTTCTTCTGTGATCATGATAAGCACCTCACTGATCTGTTTTTAAATCTTCTTTGTATCATTCAAATAATTTGGGTGTGTGGCTTTTGCTTTCCTCCTCCTTGATGTCCCCCGAATTGACTATGGGGGAATTGAGAGTTTGGGGAGACAATTTGTTGCCTTATTTTCTCATATTTTGGGGGGTTTTTAAAATTTGTTTTGTTTTCTTTGTGGGGTGCTTTAATGGAAAGACTGATGCTAGTATAATGACCTCTTTAGTTACTCTGGTTTTCAATGATGCATTCTGGCCATGGCTAAGTATAATCTTTGGCCTTTGTGCCAAGATCTGATAACCTATGTCAATATGGGAGAGGAGGATGCAGTTCAATTTGCTCAGCACTTTGAGAATGGATAGAAATATTGTTAACATTGCAAATACAATCTGGATATTGGCCTACTAATAGCAACAACTATGCCACTCTGGAAATATCATCCAATTCAGCAACTGCAATATTAACTAAGAAAATTGGACATTGTTGCACCATAAGAACCAATAATGTACTACACTTTTTTTTGAGATAGGGTTTTGCTACGTAGTTTAGGCTGGACCTCAACTCACTGTGTAGCCCCAGCTGACCTCAAATCATGGTGATCCTCCTGCCTCAGCCTCCCAAGGGCTGGGATTAGAGGCATGTATCACTACACCTGGCTCCATAATGTACCACTCTTAACCTTAGAAAAGAAATGCACAATTATGGAATAATCACTAACACAAATGTTGACATCTAATATGTACTAAATGCAACAACTATACCTCTACTAATAATAGAAAAGAGTTTAACAATAATAACAGAGACTTAACTAACAATGAAAAGATTATTAAAGTTTGATGGTTATACTGTTAAAGATATAGAGTGTTGGGAATGTGAAAATGCAGGAAGAAAAATGTGAAAAATTCAACTGTGAGAGATGACAAGGAGAGAAAAGTGAGAAAAGGATCCTATTAAGGAATACAAGGATATTTACAAATTAGATAAAGGTAACAGAAAAAGCAAATGAGAAATAGAAGATAAAAGAAAAAAATGAGGAAAGAACAAGAAGAAAAAATAATAAGGAAAAATAAAGATAAGATAGAAAAAAATTAAAATAAAGAAAGAACAAAGGAGGCCAGGGATTTAGCTCAGTGGTTCTGATGACTGTCTTGCAAGCGCAAGGACCTGAGTTTGATTCCTGGTACCAAAAACTAAATAAATAAAAGAAAGAACAAAGGAAAATTCCCCAAACCCCAATAAACCAGTGATGAAAAGGAAAGGCAATGAAGAAAAGAGTCCAAAAACATAAAAACCTCTCTGCATTTTTGAATGAGTGGTTTTTCTTCCTTGATCTGCAGTGGTGGAATCCAGGAATCCATGTAGCCTTCTATGTTATGGGTTTTGAAGTCCCCCTCCTCCATTCCAGGGGTTCATTTGTTTATCCCAGGTTGTGGCAATGTCCAAGCTGTGATAGCTCCCTTCTCCTGTGGGTAGATAAAGAAGGCAGTTAAGCCTCATATTCATAGTTGATATGGGCAATAGGGCGAGTGCCCAGGTACTCAATGACAGCACTTTCAGACTCAATTCAACTCAAACTGGGCCTGGCCTCCCACCATACATGGTGAGGTTTGTGTCCTTCCTGGATCAAGCTAAAATCTCTTAAAGGATCTCTTTTCAGTCCATTCCCTGTCCATTGTTATGTCCTATGGCTGTCTCTCACTCAGTCACTCTGGGATGGTAACCTTGGGAACTCTGAAGTGAAGACATCCCCCAGCTGTTTTGACTCGTGGATTCAATCAACCCTTTACCGTATGGTTCCTGATAAGCACACTCCAGCAATGTGGTGGGCACCTATGCTGGGGTTCCCATCCAGCTGTTGCCTGTCATGTAGAGGGAGTGCCCTCAGAGTAAAGCTCTGAACTGTCCTTACAGGTCACAACTACTACTGTGAGCTCCCCCTGGAGCCCACATTGCTACCTAAGTCTTCTGCTTCTGTTTCTTTCTGGAGCATACAGTATTCACTCTACTTCTGCAAAGCCAGACTCCCCCTTTCGATGAGCTGGGAACTGGGAGCCAGGGAGAGTTCAGACTGTTTCATTTCCTTATCTACATTGTGGTCCACCCCCTCAAATTGCTCCATAGCTTTTAATTTTCAGGTCAGTTCCTTTCTGATTCCCAGTGATCTACTTCTCTTTTGTTCTTCCCCAAGTTGTTACGTTCCAGGGTCTGAATACCGGGGATACTGCCACTCACCACTCCACCATCTTGATTCTCTATTAAAATTTCTAGTTTTATAGTTAACATGCTTTGCTTGCATATTAAAAATAAAACAGAAAATAAAATTATTGAAAATTTGCCACATATAAAAGACAAAATTGGGCTAGGGATTTAGCTCAGTGGTGCCACCACCTCGCAAGCACAAGGTCCTGAGTTCAATCCCGGTTCCAAAAAAACGAGACAAAATTATGGAAATTCAAGAAACAAGAAAAAGCAAAAGAAAGGGACTATTCACAGAACAACACCATACACTTGTCCATATATTCTTTCTTAATAGCTGCTCAGTTTAAAGCTGAAACTGTCTTCTATTATTTATCCACTTAACATATACTTCCAAGAGACCTGAGATCAGAGATTTCCTCCCTTCAAACATTCTTAGTACATGATGGTATAGAACATCCCTTCCCGTGTAACTAGAATATAAATACCTTTGGCCTACTACCCAAACTAGGTCAAGATCTGATTTCAAGAACTCTTCCTCCTGTTCTTGAATGCACCATCAAACTCATCAAACTGCTTTCAGTAATAAGTCAAGAAGTTCAGCAGATCTCCTTCTTTGGCAGTAATTTGTCAGTCCCAGAAGTGGAGCAACATTTGCCATATTCATATGCCCTTAGATGTGATACTGCTATTTACCTCCTGCATGCTGTCTCATTTTCCACATTAGTCCTCCTTTATCTATTCAATAACTTAGTCATTCACATCATAGGCTCTTTTTTGTCATACTCTCTGTTCTACTGGCTAGGAAACAGCTCTTACCATCAAGCAAATGTATTTGAGTCTGCCAAGATTGACTAATAGGTTTAAGTCAGAAAATCACACATATTTTGGAAGAGAAATTATGTAAAGGGTACCACTAATTTTTTATGACCAAGAGCCATGAGGGAGATTTCAGAGGTGAATAAATATTACAGCTGACTCATAAAGAATGAAAAAGAAATCTTCAACTAGAAATTGGTGAAAGAAGATTCCAGGAAGAGAGACTAGCCTGGGTAAAATTAAGGAGATATGAAAGTGAGGCATGTTGAGGGACTATCAGTAATTCACTACAGTTACCACACAGAGACCTAGGTGGAAGGAGTATATCATGAGGTAAAAGTAACAGAAGAGTCACTAGGAACCCAGGAGAGGGACTGACACTGGAAAGGACTTAGTTTGCCTTGTGGACCTGGGACCATAGCCTTCACCTGAGCTGGTATTTAGGCTTGTATGACACATTAATGAGTAAGGTCAAGACAGATTAAAATTAGAGCCTTATCTTTCGCCATGCACTAAATTAAAATCCAAATGGATTAAAGATCTAAATATTAAAACAGAAACATTAAACTTACTGGAAGGTAAGTTAGGCAGAACTCTGGAAGACAGTGGTATAGGAAAAGACTTTATGAACAAATCCTCAGTAGCATGGGAACTAGCAGAAAGAATCAACAACTGGGATCTCATCTTACTAAAAAGCTTCTGTACTTCAAAAGAAACCATTAGCAGAACTAAGAGACAATCTACAATGTAGGAAAAAATTTTTACCAGCTGTACCTCAGACAAAGGACTATTATCAAGGATATATAAAGAACTCAAAACAATCAGTCCCCCCAAATATAAAGACCCGATCCAAAAATGGGCATCCGAAATGAACAGACATTTCTCATACAAAGAAGTAAAAGCAGCAAGAAAATATATGAAAAAATGTTCCACATCACTGGTCATTCGAGAGATGCAGATGAA